ATGCATGTGTTACAGTTTTCTTAGGGTAACTTCCTAGCTACAGAATCGTTAGGTCAATAGTACATGATTTGACAATTTTGAGAGACCGCCAAATTTCTTTCCAAAAGTATTTTACTAATATGTTATTTCCTCACACCTCAGTTACAACAGTATAAATCAAGTTTTCAGTCAGTTATATAATGCATGAAAAACAATAAAAACAGTATCTCATTGTAGTTCTCATCTGCTTTTTAGAATTAGACGTAAAATAAGACTTTTTTTTTTACGATCTGCCCCCTACCCCTCTTGGTGAGTTGCTTCCTCTTCTTTTTTGTCCTATTTTTTCTTTTAGTTGTGTTACGTATTCACTCCTTATTAGTTTTTATGAATTGTTTTAATTAGGGATAATTGTTTTTGTCATATACAGTAAAGAACTTCCCGTAATTTGTCAGTTGACTTCAGGTTATTTCTTATATGCAAATGTTGAATTTATCCAAATTTATCAATCCATTTCTTCATGGCTTCCTGATTTTGTTTCTCATTTACAAATGCTTATTCTATGCTAAGATTACTAATATATTTTCATGTAGTATTTTTAGTTTTTATTGTTCTTTGATGCATTTGGGCCTTATTTGGGGAACAAAATAAAGAAGAAAGCTAGATTTATTTTTTCAGAATAGCTAACCAGTTTTCTCAAGATCACATATTCAATAATTCCCTTTCCTCCTACTAACTGAAAAACCACCTTTGCTGTCAACTATTATGTTATTTCAGATATGTACTCTGTTCAATTTATTTGTCTGCAGAAATCTACCAATTTTTCATTGTAAATAGCAATGAGTATAATGACCATCCTACTTTCAAGCTCCAACATTTCCTTTATTTACATTGCTTAGAAACCACATTTCCTCAGCACTCAGTGACACATATTCTTCCCTTCCTTACAAATTCAACACAGTGTAAAATGAGTTTCCCAGTGTAAAATGATTTACAGAACTGTCTGTGAGAGACGCAGGCCCTGGGAGAGCTCCTCTGTGAAGCCTGGAGGACACTGGCCTTTTTCTAAAGCCTGGCTAATCATCCACCCAGCCAGCATCCCAGTGCTTACTGTGGGCCGGTGGTATACTAGACATTTTATGAGTTTCCAAATAAACTTTCTTGATTCAGTAAAGCAAAACTTTGAGAAGAAAACATTAATCTTCCATGATTCATCTAATCTTTTAAGTAAGCTTGAAACTAATGATGCAGCAAGATAATGGAGTAACATTTTCTGTATTTTTCTATGGATTAATAAGGGAAATCAAAATACCAGGCTTATCAGCTGTGTTCTGTGTATTTGATGAAGTTGGAGATTGACTACTTTCTTAATGAAAATTCAGAAGTCCTCCAGCTGTAACAGCTACTGTTGCCTGAGGAGCTGGTCCCCTTAGCCTCAGCCACCCAGGAGGTACCCTTGAACCCAGTGGGGAGCAGAAGCTGGTTTTGAGTCTGGAACAGCTATCATAGAACACGAGCGTTTTAGACAAGGAAGCCAGTGAGAATGTAAAAAGGAAGCCAGAGCATGTGCTTGGAGCTCTGTTGGTGTTGGGGTATGTACACCAGGACTGAAGCCTCAGAGGGATCTCGTACTGTGTGGCAGAAGGTCCCCCAGAGAGCCTGAATTACCGGAAGAAAAGGGGAGACCATGGGACGTGAAGGGTGGTACTCTGCATTCTTTCTTTCATTGAGTCAGCAAACCTTTTTTGCACATGTACTATAGGTCCTGTGTTTAAAATGTATTAATTTTAAGTCTTACAAACTCATGGCAAGTAGCTGTCCTTTTATCCACTTCCTAGGTGACAAAACAACACAGAGAGGCTGACTAGAGTCTCCAGAGGCACACAGCTAATGGTGTTAGACTTGGGTGATGAAAGCTGGGGTGTCTGCCTCTCTGAGTCCACGCGGGCTTGCAGGAAACATGCCGAGGAACATCCACTCCAGGGGCTTAAGGAGCAGGTGGTCTTCCAGAGATGATTTGAAAAGAAGGATTTGTTTGCAAATCAGAAAAGGTTTTGTTAAGGTGTAGTGTGCCACACATTTTCTTTGGGTGACATGAGAGAACAAATAACACAGACAACACAGACAGACAGACAATGGCGGCAGCCCCGATGTGGCACAGCACCTTTATTTTTATACTGCCTTTCTCGGACCTCAGCCAAGTGCTATAATCATCTCTCCCTTCTCAGGGGGGACAGGCCAGAGCACCTTGTTGATTTTCTTAGAAGCTGCCTAGTAAGCAGGGGTGGTGTTTTCACACATCCTTAAGGTCTCCCTATTTTCAGAGTGAGGTGTCTTGGCTCGTCTTCGAGGACAAGATATGTTTTTGTGGGCAGATAACTTCCAAGGGCTGCACCAGTTGTTCTCAAGCTGGTGCTTTCCCGTGCTGCATTCAGACATGGGGGAAGGTGCTTTCCCATTTTGCCTTCAGACATGTGAGAAGACAAAGGCCGTCCTCTACATTAAGGCAAACAGTGATTTTTTTTCCTTCCTTTTTATTAACCCTTGAACTGGCTCCCTCCCATGGTGGAGCCTCTTTGGAGAGTGTTACTGTGCAAGGATGGACACCTTGCTGATTGTGGATGCTACTCCTGGGTTAGTTTGAATGCAAAAAGGAGGAAAACCAACTGGCAGAAGCTACTATTTCATTCCATACTTGTCTAGTGCTTGATAGAACTGCAAACTTTAAAGTATTGTCATTTCCTAGTTTGGTTGCTAGAGTTCTAGAAAGCCAGAGAGATTCCCGAGTCACTCATGTAGAGCCCTGGGAAGAAGCTGCCTCCTCCTCTGTGATCCAGGGTATGAATTCCTCCTGCTGGTGCTGTTGGACTCCAGGGGGTCTACCCGTGGTGCCGAGGGCTCACCAGAGTTCCCCAAGTTTACCTCCGGCATCTCTCTTCCCTCCAGCAGGAACACTAGGGCCAGAGATTAGACACCAGATGTCCAGTGACCCTGGTCTCCTTTCCCATATTCTCCATCCCTAAGGCACCATCCCCGATTTTATTATACACTTTATAATACACTTTTAAAAAATGTAATACCTTTTGAAAACCCGAGTTTTATTTGGCCCCTCCCCAAGATCTGAGAAGTGCTGCTCCGTGCCTGCCATCCCGTGACGTACAAATATTCAGACTCACACAGGACAGCTCAGCCCAAAGCAGAACTTTGTTTCATGGGCAGTGATTCACAGTTAATCCCCGCCAAATGAGAATCAGACCCAGGCTTCTAAATAGAGGCACTCTTAGCACCATTCTCCATGCATTACAGACCCAAGAAAAGTGTCTAACTAGTGTACTAAATTATCAAAATAACTTAGGAAAAAACAGCATGATTACAACACTGGATTTCAAGGTTGGAAAGTTCTAAATAATACCCCATGATGCAGGAGTAATTAATCATAGCAATATTCAATAAAGTAACAAGCTTAAAAATACATCTCTGATCCCATGATTCAGCAATGCCACTGACATATGTTTAATGTAAGAAAGCCCAGCTATTTTAAAGACTTGAGCAGTATGGAAAGAAAGAAACATGTGAATGGGTTTCCCTTCTGCATCCTTCCCTCCTCTTCAGCCTTCTCTCCCTGAGCGTAACCACACTTAGCAATTTCTCACCTGGCCTCCCAGGGCAGTGCTCCAAGTGTGCATACATGCTTTCTAAAATGACCCCAAGGGAGATCACACTATGTACTTGATTGCACACTTTTTAAAAATTTAATACCTTTTGGAAACCATATAAGAGGAACCTTAAACTTACAGGCTCTGAACTTACTGTGATTTTGTTCAAATCCCTACGCTGTATTTCCTAGGCAGGTTACCTTGAAAATATGACTTAATCACTCCGCACCTTTATTTCTTCACCCATGTAGGGAGGATAATAATGAAACCAACCTCAGAATTGCTGTGAATGATAAATAAGATATCATACAGAAAATGTTGGCACAGTCTTAAAAAAGGTTAATTATGATTATCATCAGCACATAATTATCTAATCTTTTTAAATGGTGATTTACTCTTCAAACATATAAATATACCTTAATATTACCTTGAACTAATTGGTCAGCATGTTAATTATTTGTTTTTTATTATTTTCATTTTGTTGGTACATTTATGCTGTGACAAACAATGTTGAAATGTTCATTCACACGTACGTCTCAATACTAAAGACATGTCTACAGGAAGGATTTGGCAAGAATTCCAAAAGGTTAAATCCTGGAGTTGATACATGTGGTGGAGGGCTGCGGTGGCCCGCCTCCTGGGTCTGGCCCAGCTTCCACGTGGCCCTTTGCTCCCACGCTCTCCCACAATTGTTAATCAAGTTTTAAAAATATTTGTCAGTCTAAAATTGGGAAAACCATAGTCTCCCAAAGTTGTCTCCTTTAGGATATTTTTAGTATTGTGTGTTGTCCATTATCCTATGAGGACATTTTCAGTGTTTTTATAAAGTTAGTTCTATTTCCTTAACATCTTGTTTGGAAAGACCTTCCTGATACCCTAACTAAAGTTTCTTGTGCTTTCTTCTGGATTAATTTTATTAGGTTAAACTTTTATATCAAGGGCCACATTATACTCAAGTTTGAACAGAGTTTCACAAGTTTGTTAAGACTGATTTTATCTTTGTTTTTGGGACCTCCCCTGCACCCATACTGGTATCTAAGTTTGGGAATGGACACCTTTTCTTCCAGCATTTGGTTTAAATGAGCCAACTCTGATGTGTTAATGAGCTTTCTCTCTGTTCCTGGAGCCGAGTCACGGACACCCGCCCTCCCCGCAGTCTTTCCGAAAGGCCGTTGGCCGGAGGAGCTCACATGTGGGCCTTTCCCGGCAAAACCCCAGCCAGGGTGTGTGAGCCCTTTCAACAGATGCTTGCACTGGAGGGAACAGCGCGGTTGTAAATGAATACTAAAAACAAAATGTTTGGAGAACTGGCCATTCTTCAACGAGAAAGTGTAACTGCATTTCCTTTCTTTCACTCTATTTTTGCAGTCGGGCATGATAAGAACACAAGAAGCAGATTACTTCCTAAAGCCGCTTCCTTCCCACCTGGCAGGGAGACTCAAGGGCTCCCCGGGCGGCGGGCCTCCGTCGCACATACTGTACAAGAGGTCAGCAGAGCTGCGGGCTCTGGGCGCCCCCCAGGTGGCGGTGGTCGCGAGGGGTCGCAAGCTGAACCAGCACCCCTTCCGCGTTGGCCGGTGGCACCTCCACAGCAGCCTGCCCCCAAGGCACCCACAGAAGCAGCATTTCTGCGGAAGACGCAAGAAATGTATGTAAGCGCGATTCTTTTGTGTGTTGAACCGCTGGGACACTGATGTTAGCCAGTGGAATGTTGTTGTGGTCATCAAAGTATCTGCCCGCCAGGTGAAAGGTGTTGACTATCGTTGCTGAACGTAAGTGAGGTCTCCAAAGGGGGCCGTTATTCTATATGTTCATGTAACACCTCTCTCCAGGTAGGTAGATAGACAATGGAGGTTTTTGTTTTAAAGAACTGTTCTCTGGGCAGATTAAATGACACATGACTCAAATGCAGAATCCACTGGACGTCTTCAAAAGCACTCAGGCATGTCTGCTCAGTAATTCTATATTTTGGGGTCTGGATTTATTAATGTCCACATAGTTTTCCTGTGGAGGTAATTTATCTCTCTCTATATTTATGTATTTTATGCCACCACATCAAAAGGACAGACTGCATGACGTAATTTGCCTTCAGTTCATCACCAAGGCTTTGTCTAAGCCCCTTTTCTATGGGAACATCAGGAGGTAAATGCGATGTTTGCATCCTATGTAGAAGCCTCTCTCATGCTCAGGGATACGAGCCGAGGGCTCTTCGGATTTCCCTTACTTCGGGTTTCCCGTGCGGCGTCCCTTTATTCATTAAGCGCCCCCTCAGTGAGCCTCTGGAGGGGCCACTTCTCCAGCCCCATCTCTCTGCGGTTCCCTCCGCCGGCGGCCATGCCCAGCACCCTGCAGTACAGGCGGCATGCTGCGGTTGAAAGAACGCGAATGGCCCGTAGTCACATGGCACCCACGGGAAGGAACAAGGACCATTAAACTGTCAGCACCCGTGTGTCATCTGTGTTCTTAACAATAGTAAAAGATAATAATTAAAAACTCAGAATAAAATACGTCTTACGCCGCATTTGAATGGCCTTGAAGGACTCAAACGCTGACTGACCAAGTCCATGGCCTATTCTGACGGGAGGCAGCAGGGAGGCTGGACGTGGGAACAAAGAGCCGTGAACGGGAGTGGAGAAGGTCCCGGAGGACGAGGGTGAATGGACACCAGCAGAGCTGTGCTTCTCATCTTCAGCCCAGGCTGCACCGCAGGGACAGGCCGTGGGAAGGGGCAGGGCCAGGAAGCGGGGGCGGGGTTAGCGAAGGTCCAGAGGGTGGGTCCAGAAGGGATGGGGGAGGGGAGGGCAGGACATGGGATGGGGTGGGGCCAGGAGGGCTGGTCCAGGAGGCGGGACTCTGACCCACAAGGTCAGAGCCCGGCATGTATGTGTGCTGGCCGGCTCCGTGTGGGTTGGGTCGGTGCAAGTCAAACTCCATGTATCCGGGACAGAAGGTTAGCCGAGCTCAGAATTCAGAGGGGGCTTCACAGGTCCAAAGGCAGTGCTGGAAGGCCCTGAGAAAGTCCAGCACCACTGACCATCCTGAAGGGAGCGTGACCCTTATATTCTTCCCTGGGGGACATCGGGGCCCTTCAGGCCTGTGACAGCTGAGGCACAGCTGTGCTGGTGGGCGGTAAATCACCGTGGGTGTGCTCACGTGTGCATGCGTGGGTGTATAGTGTACATGCATTATTTGGAAAAGGCTACTGAACTGTACAGTGTTGTATTTGGACAATGGAAAAGAGCAGCCATTGTGTTCATAATAAAAGTAGGAAAGGAAGGCGCCACCAAAGCCCTTTTGCCAGCGGAACACAGTGATGATGCGGTGCTGTTTGGCTGGCCCAGTATTTCTGTCCACAGCCTGTGGGCACATGGCAGCTCTGTCCCCCGGTCCCGAGTGGCAGGGGGCCTGTGACAAGCAGAAGGGATGCACAGTGCTGCCAGGCTGAAGCTTTTAATTCTCAGGACCCCATTGTCTGTACGTGGATATTTCCATGTTGTTCATGAGGCTTTGGGCTTCCCAGGAGGCATCTGGGCTTTCTGGCTCAGTGGGGTTCACACTGACAAGGATTCTTCCCTCCTAGTGTCTCTGGCTCAGCAAATGAGAGACTTTTCTTTATGTTTAAGCAGCTATGTCCAGAAAAGGGCAAACAGGCACTCTGATTTGCTTAAAATCAATAGTGGCACTGAACTCTGAGACCCTGAGTTAGCTTGCTGCTTGAGGCATCACCGATGGCTTCTGAGCTGGGACTCCTGTGTTTGGGGGGAAATGCTACAAATATCATTTTGAGGGCAAAGGATTTGCTCTGCAGGCCTTGTCAGAGCCAGTGCCAGGAAGTCCCCACACCTTGTGCTTCTGCCCCTGTTCCCTAAACTGGTGGGTGTGAGGGTGCTGTGCTCCTCTGCTTGATCTCCTTTCATTGTGCATATGTCTTTCCAGTGGAATTAAGACAAGGGCTCTGCCAGATCTGACACTCATTTCCAGCACTTTCTGGGGAGCAAGTTAGGTTCTTTCTCTGTGCCTCTGAGGCCTCATCCGTACCTGGGGCTGGTGCAGAGGCTGACGAGCTACCCATAGAGAGCTCTTAGGGTGGCGTTTGCAACTATTTAGCCAGTGTAATTATCCTCCTCCAAAAGGTTCATGCAGTTTCGGAAGTGTTTTACTGAAGAGAGATTAAATGTATTGGATATGGGTACAAGTCAAACACAACAGCATCTCCTAACAACATGCTCCATGAATAGAGTTGGCATAACTTTTAAATGGTGCCACCTATATATGCTGGCATTGTGAAGTATGCAATTATGAAGTATTATGAAGTCTACAGACAATTATAATCACATTTTCTGAGGAACACACTGAATCTAATTGTTTTTAACATAGTGTTAACTTCCTGATTATAAATACCATATGATTTTTAAATGTTTCTTCATGGGGACAGAGTATATTTTGTCTTCTAATTAAATCAGGTAAACATTTTTGATGCTTTTTAGGAAATTCAGCTCTGCAGTAAGGCAGATCTGTCTTGAGCAGACAAACCAGTGATGTGTCCAGACAAGGAAATCAATGGTAAACACTGTCAGGTTATTAAAGTCTTCAAATGCAAGACAGCATTATTTTTGGTAATTGTTCATTCTATTGCTTTGTCAATAACCCCTTTGTAGACCCAGCCCCACAGATCCTTAGGCTTATAGCCTTTGCACATTGGACTTCTGGATGTTAGAAAGACCTAAAGTGCCCTTTTTGTTTTAAATCAGAACAAAATTATACAAAGGGAAATAGAGCAATGATTTCCATGACATCTAGACTATACCAACTCTCTTTAAATTTAGTGCAGTCTTGAGTTACATGGCTCATGTCATGAAAATTCATTTTTAAAATCCAGCCTCTGTATAACAAAGTTCAACCACTGGTTTTGTGTAACAATTTTGGCTTTCATTTGTTCCCCAAATGTCCCTCCGTAGACATGCCCAAGCCCCCCGGGGAAGACCTCCTCATCCTGCCTGACGAGTACGCGTCTTGTTCACGGCACAAACGCTCTCTTCTGAAGTCCCACTGGAATGAGGAGCTGAACGTGGAGACATTGGTGGTGGTTGACAAAAAGATGATGCAGACCCACGGCCACGAAAACATCACCACCTACGTCCTGACGATCCTCAACATGGTAGGGGTGTCCTTTGGCCTGAAGCCACATTTGTGATTCCACCTGATGGGTGGGTGGGTGTGCTTTAACTTCTACTTTTTCTTTGCAGAGTTATGTCTCAAACATAAAAAATATTTTATCTGTCACTAAGTCCTCTACATTTCTGTGCTCCAGTCAAAAGAGCCATTTTCAGAACTTCGGGGAATAAAATAAGGATGAACGATTGGACCCTCTCTGTCCCCCAGTAGCATATTTCAAGTGTATCAATGTCTTCATTTATTCAGAAATATGTAGGAGGATGCTGAGATATTTTAGTGCAGGAAATCTGCTTATCAGCATTATATGGGCGACTTTCGATGGCCATCAAGAAATACCCATCCTTTCAGGAATATTAATGCTCAAATGTTGAATATACATTTGACCTGCAAAAAGAAAAAGACAGGACCATCCTTTAGAATATCATCTCAGACAAAATCTGTGCCATGGGTTGGTGGCTCTTGTAATGCCTGAAGAGGGATGCAGGGTATCTGAGCCCCATGTCAATCTTAGGTCACTCACTACCTCAATGAAGAGAGCACCCCTAAATGTGTGTCATTTTCCCAGGCTGCCACATGGTTCTTACTGTTACATCATCTTTGGCAGCCTGGCCCACGTGGTTTATGATCTCCCAGGGAACTGAGGGACATGGTGACATAGAGGCACCTACCACCACATACCCATGGGGTCGCTGTGTTGTAGGGTCAAGCACATCAAGGCCCAGGATGCTCTGACTTGTGCAAGAGTGGCTTCTACTCTAAAGCACTTTCCTGATATTCCTACACCTCTGTGCCCAGTCCCCCTGGCTGTCCTTGCTCCTCACCCCAAAGGCCACCTTCGTTATTCACGGGCATCTGCCATCATGTCCCTGCTGTGTGCACCTGTGTTGGTCACACATCCCCACATTCTCCCCGTCTCTTTCTTGTGTGTCCTTGGGCTTTTCTCTTATGAACTGGAATCCCTGCCAGGAGAGCCTGGGGGTGCTGGCCTATGTAGTCATCCTCATGAGGAAAAAACCCCTCCTTATATTCTAATGAGGACTGTCACCTACTCGAGGCTGTGGCTGCACTTCATTGGTGTTTGATCACAGGTGAAACCTGCCTTCCAAAACCTTGGTTTTTACTCCTAGGCACCAATGACAAGGGTCAACAGTTGCTCTGCATGGCCCTTAGACATTTCTTTACCTGTCTGTCCAGCAGTGTAGGAAAGTTAACACTGCTGTGTCCCTGAAAAGCATGTGGCCTGACAGGACTGCAGGCCTGCCAGGGGCTGGGAAGGTAGGGGACTGGCGCCACGTACAGGGAGTGATTGCCTGTCTTTTCCAGGTGTCTGCTTTATTCAAAGATGGAACAATAGGCGGAAACATCAACATTGCAATTGTCGGTCTGATTCTACTAGAAGAAGACCAGGTATGCTCTTTTTTTGAAGCCAACAGCTTTTTATGATCTCAGAAAAATTAATGCAAAGTGGTGTTCTGTTTTCCTTAATAATGTCATTCTGTGAATTCTCCTTCCCTTGGGAAGAAAAAGGTTGTAATATTTTGTGTCTTGAGCAATGAGTTTCTTGTTAGTTCCTTTAGTAATTGTTTTATTTTTATGTGTCGTTTTGTACATTAATGCTCTTGTATTTGGCTTATGAGAAAACAGAAGGACAGAACTGCCTTACACATGTGGCTGGGAGACCCACTGGGAGACAAGCACAGGCTGGGTGTCAGCCCACACCTCCATGTGCTTTGAGGCTGCCGGGGAAACTGAAGGTCCTACAGAGGTCCTCCGGCCTCGGAGCTCAGCGGTGCTGTGTGGAGCGGCACTGTTTCACTCTGCTGACCCCCAGTTCCTCAGATTGATCACGCTCACCACCACCTTTGGTCTTGGATTTCTTTTCATAGAGATTCTGAAATGTCAAGTACATTTCTCTCATTGCACACAAAAACCCAAATTTTGCTGGTTCTTGGTAGCAGTGGGTCAAAGGATCTCCACTGCCTCCTTTCAGAGACCCTGTGTAAACGCACAGACATACACTCCAATTCACCACAAGGACGCATATGCACACTCTGTGGCGTAAGTAATGGGGCTGTCTTAGCCATAACAGGCTCTCACTTCCCTTTTGTCCCAAGCGGATCGTTGGTTCGGCACGGAAGGAGTGAGCCCTGGACCCAAATCAGCTACCCTGCAGCCAGTCCGCCCTTGCTGACATCTTGGCGAAGTCTCCTGATAGCCATAGTTTTCTTGTTCGTAACAAAAGGAATTTTTTAGATGAAACCTAAGGTCATTCCTAAGATCTAAAATGCCTGCAGACTTTAACAGTCTGGGACACCACTCTTTTTCTGGGCCGCGTGGGGGCACACGTAGGCAGGCCTCTTTCCAGCCTGAACAGTCAGGACGATGCAACTTCACTGTCTTCCGTGTGACTGTGTGTCTGAGCAGGTGGATCTGAACTAGCAGGACTTCTCAGGTGACAGGTTAATTATTTCTTGTATTAAATCATTTTCACCTTGGAATTCTTCCAAGTTGCAAAGAATAAGCAAGGTTATCTTTTGATCGTACACCTGTGTTAACTTTAATTAATGCAGTTTTCCTGGAAATCGCCAGGTGAAGAATGTAAGGCATGTCCCAGTGTTGAGGCAGAGCATTTAGTTTAGGCATATTTGACTCTCTGGAAAGCAAAATAAACAGAGAGGAAATGCTCAGTGACTGAGTGACAGAACTTTCAGCCCAGCACACTAACCACAAAAGCTTTAGCAGTTTGTCCTGAAATGATGGAGGTATTTAACCTCGCCCTCTGTGACCATCCCTAGAAAATGTAACACACTATAATAATAAGATCCGAATGGCTCACTGCAGTCTGCTCCCGTGGCTCCTGCCTCCCCACATTCTTCAGTCCCAAGAATTCAGGTAGCCTTTTCCCTGATATTTCACTGTTACACTCTTAAAACTTGCTATACGTGGATAAAGTTGGATTTCTTCTGTGCAGCTTCTTTCTAGTTTCCAGTCTATTTTCTAGAAATAATGCTTTCCCCATCAGCCTGCCTCTTCTCATAAGCAGATTGCTTCTGTAGGAAAGTGACCAGATTTAACACTGTAATAACAAATATTAAAAGAGTAATAAATTAGAAACTTCACTTGCCCAACTTGGTTATAAAATAAATACATCACTGTCTAGCTGTGCTTTTGGTATGTGAGAGGTCACATATAGATGATTTTTATATAATTTTTCTAAGTGTTTCACAAGGATTTTGAATGCAAAAATTATATGCACAGGATCATATTTCTTGGGTCATTGCAAAGGCATTCAGGATCGGCTGAGTACATCCCAAATGTTTTTGAACAGAACTAGAGAAACGAATGTCAGCACCTACACTGAATCTCTGCAGGTTTTATGTAAAACACCCTCCTTTGGATTTTCATACAAAAAATGGACATTCCATTTGCTATGCATTAGTTGCATTGCTGCATTTGAAGCCCGGTTTGCTGTGAAAACAGTGCCAGGAACGGCTGCATGATGACATGCTTCCTGTCTGTTACCACTGGGTTTCCGTCTCTCATTCACAGCCAGGGCTGGTGATAAACCATCACGCGGACCACACCTTAAGTAGCTTCTGCCAGTGGCAGTCTGGGCTGATGGGGAAAGATGGAATGCGCCATGACCACGCCATCCTGCTCACCGGTCTGGACATATGCTCCTGGAAGAATGAGCCCTGCGATACTCTGGGTAAGACACTCCTGCGCATGTGCTGTGCACCTTCAGCGGCCTACAATGTTGAGTGTTTGTACTCTCATTCCAAATCCATATGTTGTAGCACTTCTGGGAGCAGCATAAACAATAGACTTGCTTCCCTGTATAAATGTTGACTAAACATAGACATATGCATTTATACACCCAAAGTGAATAATTCAACAAAAGAACATTCACCAAAATTTTACAAGGAAAAGTGCCTCACAGATCCAGGAGATCCTTTCTCTTCTAATTTAAGCAATAATTTCTTTCTTTCTTCTTCCACTTGTGAGAATGAGTCAGTAGATTTGATAGTGTCTCATTATGTGGCAGAAATAGGATCTTTGTGAATATTTATAGAGATTCTACAGTATAGTCCCCATTTTTCCATTTGCTATAAGTAGCTCAATCTTGGCAATTTTTGACTGGTTTATCATGCTGGCTGATTCTTAGAGGCAGCTCTTTTCTATTTTTCCATATAGTATAAAGCACAGTTGCTGCTGACCAGGGCTCTCTGAACATTTTCTCTAGCTGCACAATTCTTCCTTGGATCTTAGAGAAGAAGGGTCTTTATTACAAAAACACTCAGATGGGGCTCAGTTTAGTAGAGGTCAGTACTGACTGCTCTTCCTAGAAGACCCTGCTTACAAGGCTGCCCCTTGGCTGGCCTCTGAGAACTTGCATTTCCGGATGGTTCCCACACTCTACCTGATGAGCATAGCTCACCACGCCCAAACTGTACAAACACACAATGCGGTTAAACCTGCTTTCCTTCTGGGAGTCGGGAATTTGGGTCCATGGCCAGGCAGGGGCTTCAATGTTGATCAAACCCCAATAGAACACCTGGGTCCTGAGTCTCTAATGAGCTTCCCTGATAAACAGTTCACCCTTGTCATGATGCATTTCTGGGGAATTTGCTTCCTGTGTGGCTCTGCTGGGAGAGGGCCATGGACCCTCATGCCTGATGTTCCCTGGACTTGTCCAGGTGTGCTTGGCTCCTTTGCTGATTTTTGTTCACTACTGTTTTGTATCCATATTGATTTATACCTGTGAGCACATCAAACGCTGAGAGTCCCATGAATCCTCCTGCAAATCCTCGAACCTGGGGTGGTCTTGGGGACCTCCCGCCTCACGCATTCCCTGCAGAATATTTTACTTGGGCTTCTGGGAACACAGATGTTCATTGAAAAGGCATACCATCTCCTCCACCCACAGTGACTCCCCTCTGCTACTTGACCCCAGTTACAACCTGTGACATGAACATTATGTGGAGCTATGAGTTGTTTCTGCAAAGAGAACCGAGCTCCTCCATTAAGGGCCCTTTACATGACTGCCCATGAGTGTGCCGCTCATGTTTCACCCAGAGATGAGAGCTGCCTTTCTCTAAAGGACAGAGGGGAAGCATACATATACAATACACTCTCTTTATTTTATTACAACACTGTGTATCTTCTTTTGACCTTCATTCCCTGTAGGATTTGCCCCTATAAGTGGAATGTGTAGCAAGTACCGCAGCTGTACTATCAATGAGGACACGGGCCTCGGACTGGCTTTCACCATCGCGCATGAGTCTGGACACAGGTGAGTGAGTGCATGCCCATGGGCGGAGGGGCAGGTCCTTTCCTACGGGACGATTGCCATGGAAAGACTGGTTCATTAGCAGGTCAGGTCTGTGAGGGGAACTCACACAGATCTGAGAGAATGTCATTGCCAGGCTATCCATTAGGTACATGATTATCTTTATTTCAGTGCCCGCCATGTGCACTCTAAGGTCATGGCAGTGCATGTTCACCCTTCCCTCCCTCTGTTCTTTCTCTGCACTCTTGCCCACACGTGCTGTCTTGCCATTGGGTTTCTGCCCCGGGCAAGTTCACTATGGAGTCAGTGTGAACAAAGAAATGACAGTAGGACATTGTTGGTGTGAAAGGATATATCCTAACTTTATTTCCAGGTGGCAGGTCAATCACTAGAATCCCTTCCACTCAGAGCGAGTCTGCATGCAGCAAGCCGGTTTCTGCCTCTGGGCCCCTCTGTCCGCACAGCCGTCCTCTGGGCCTCTGTCCTCGGTGCTGCTACCACTCCAGCTTCTGCTCTGCTGTTCTGCAGCTTTGCAGCCCTGCCACTGTGTCACCCAGAGCACTGGGCAGGGCTTTTTATAAAGAGTCAGTAACAACACATTGCCCACACATGTGTAGTGAGCTACCCAACCAGGACCAGGTGAGAATCCTGGCCACAGGAACCTTCACTTTATCCACAGGTGCACATACGGGCACAGACAGTTTATCATCTCTGCTCCTTTGTCCTATGTCTTGAACTTGGTTCTGAGGGCTAGTCTCCTTCTATGATGAGCACCTCCTGGGAAGAACAGTGACAGGCCTCCTATTGTTAATACACCATCAAGTTCATGTTCTTATACCACTTGTGTAATTTGTAGAGGTGCTTTATGATTGGTGTGCCAGGCAGAGTTTGGGGAGGACTTGTGGGCAAGAGATCAGGCCTGGTAGGAGCTGGTTTGTGCCCAAGCTCGTTGGTTTGGAAATAGGACAGTGCAAGGGTGAGTGGTGAGCCTGGGGGCTCAGCACAGACAGACGCCAGCACCAGACAAGCAGCTTGCAGCAGTGGGTGGCTTTCCATTGGTGGCATCTTTTAATGTGAAAAGCTTACCTTCCTGTCTTGTAAATGGGTTTCAGCCCCTGGCAAGTTCACTATGGATTCAGTGTGACCAAAGGAATGACAGTAAGACGTTTCTTTGGAGTGGGAGGGTTTATTACCTGGTGGTAGGTCAAGCATTAGCATCTCTGCCTCCACCCAGAGCGCTGGGCCAAGCTCTCTGTATAGCGCAATGATAGCTTATTGCCTAAAGATGTGGTAGCAGTAGCCTAGCAACAGGCCAGTTACATCATCAGATGGTTTAGGTCCAGTGAAGATCCTGGCCATAGGAACCCAAGCTTCCCCACACTCCACCCCTCCAATATTCTCACCTTAAAATCTACATGCTTTCAATCTTCTGCAATGGTCCCTGTGTGAGAAAGCTGGAGCACTGAAACCAGATTCCACAACAGCAACAGAAGACAACAACAACTTAAAGATAATAACAAAAGTTAAGATACAACAAGATTTTGATACAGGTAACAAAAATTATAATAATCCTCAAGCCAGAGGAGGTTCCCAATCCACAAAGACCTTAGGGGCGATAAGACATGTTTTAATGACACCAACACAGGCAAATCTTGTCCATCAGGGAGGATGCATGCAAGAGAGTGGTCCTGTGATAAGACTGTAGCAGGAAAGGGGTCCCTGCCAGGTCTAGTATACCATACTTTTACTCCTTTGCCCATGGGGGTTACTGAAGGGTCTATATATAGTGCTACTGGAGGTTCCTGCACTGGCCATAATGGTAAGATGCTCCTACCTTCTGGCCATTCAGGATACACTACTATGATCTTTGGGGGTCACTCTGCTGTTATTCCAGGACAACACAGGAGGCCCGCTTCCAGGCCTTGTCCCCAAGGTGGCAGGAGAGCCAGCCATCATTTGTCCATGTGTCAAAAGGTCCAAGGCCACGTCCACTCAATGGAATCTCCGGGGTTCAATGCAGTTTGTCCTGTCAGCAAGATATTATTCTGGTGGCCGAACCTTGAATTCAGTGATTCTTCCTTGGTTTGTACTTGCAGTTGTATAGGGGAGGCAGCCATATGTGTTAACATGTCTACAGGGCTCAGGGCTCCCTTTCAGGGTCTCTCACTCAAACGCCGTAGCACAGTCCATAAGTGGATTGATCATCCCCACAGACTATTGGTATCTGACTTTATTCCAGATTTTAACAAACTATTGTGCCTCTCTATCATGCCTGGTGTGGTAGGATTGTATGGCACATGAAACTTCCATTTGATTCCCAGCCATCGCACCCATTCTTACAATGTATGTCCAGTAAAATGGGTGCCCTGATCACTCTCAATTACCTGTGGTTGGCTTGCTGGTCTGCACAATGGGTAGGAAAAGCAACCAGAAGTCCAGTAGCTGTGTCCACACAAGTCATGGCATACCAATATCCTTCTGACACAGGTAGAGGCCCAATATAGTCTATCTGCCACCTGACGAGGGGTATAGGCCTCTTAACTATTGTCCCATGTTGCTGTGGAACTCGGTGTAAGTCCCTTTTGGAGCACACAACACACTCCTGCTGGGCTCTACTAACTTCTTCAAAGGTCAAAGGCAAACCCCACCAATGGACTACAGCCCACATTTGTCTTTTGTCCTGCATGCAACAAATGCTGATGTAACCATTAGGCTACACCAGAGGCAGACTTTTCTTTTAACCAACGTATCTGGGCTAATTGATCTGCTTCATTATTTCTTGGGGATGCCAGTGGTGAATGACCTGTCACATGGCATATTGTTATTATTTTAGTCTGACCACAGGCCCATAAGTCTTGACACAATTCTTGCCCCTGAAGGAGCTAGCCAGTTGGCATGGTACCAGGTTGGTAGCCACAGGGTCAAGCCCCGATAAATAGCCCAGCTTTCAGTACAGACAACTATAGGGGAGGGCTCCTGGCTGATCACAAGCCACACAGCCCACAACTCTGCCCATGGCTACTCTTTCCCTCACCATCTTCCATCCATATTGTCTCAGTCTTAGGATGGAAAGCTACGGCCCTCCATTTTGGGGGCTGCCCATGGCTGGAGCCATTTGTGTACCATGCATCTTCGGGTATAGGGGCTCTTCCCTCCTGATAGGGACTCTCTGCTACTAATGGTTCAAAAGCAAGTTCTTCCTGCTTTTCACTAGTATATGTCACCAGCCTCAACAAGCGTTGGAGTTCTTCACTCAAGGGGCTACTAGAGAGGGCAGTATGCTGCTGTAGGTAAGCACTCCACTTGGCCAGTGTGGATATTTGTGCCACACCACTCCTTGGCTTTTGAGTTCAGTCTCGTACCCACCCCAAAATGGGATAGGTGGTTATTACCTTTATCAGGGCCATTCCAGTGATGGGTTCTGTCGCCAGCAAGGCATGGTACATGGCAGCCAGTTATTTTTCTATCAAAGTGTATCATACCTCTGCCCCTTTCCAGAGTTGTGACCAGAATCCAATAGGTTGGCGAGTTCGTTGAAGCCGCTGCCAGAGACCCCAGCCATAACCGTCTTCAGTCACATGAACATCCAGCTCACAGGGCCTTGATGGGTCTGTCACACTCAAGTCCTGCATGGCCTTGACTGCCTGTTTTGCTGTAGTAAAGGCAGATACACATGTCTCATCCTAGTCCCACCTGATGCTCTTTCGTACCGACTGGTATAAGGGTTTCAGAATTTGTGCCAAGTGTGGGATAAACACTCTCCAGTAACCTAGAAGACCCAGATACTCCTGTAGCAATGCTACAGTTGTAGGGGTAGGAAAGGCCTGGACTTTACCTATAACTGCTTCTGGTATAACGTTGGTCTTACCCAACCAGACGACCCCCAAGAATCTGACAGACAAACCAGGTCCCTGAACCTTGGTACTGTTCATAGCCCATCCTTTCTCCTGTAGATGTTGCAGCAGTCTAGATGCTGCACCTTCTAGATCTGAAAGAGAATTGGATGTGAGCATGACATCATCAACATAATGATATAGCCTCACCATTGGTGGTTTCTCCCATGTAGCCAAGTCCTGGGCCACAAGCCCATGACAGATGGTGGGGCTGTGGAGGTATCCCTGTGGAAGGATGGTGAAAGTCCATTTATGTCCTTCCCATGTAAAGGCAAACTGTTACTGACTTTCCTACTCAATGTCAATGGAAAAGAAGCATTAGCAAGATCTACCACATAATGGTATATTTCTAGTTCATGGCTGAGGGTATCCATCAAGCCTGCAATAGAGGGGACAGCAGCATGCATAGGAGGTATGACTTCATTCAGTTCTCTGTAATCCACAGTCATATGCCAGGAGTGATCTGACTTTTTTACTGGCCACACTGGGGAACTGAAAGGACTACGAGTTAGCTTTATAATACCCACCTTTTCCAGCTCCTGGAAAGTTTCTCCAATCTCTTTATGTCCTCCAGGCAGTTTGTATTGTTTGATATTAGTCACCCACTGAGGCAAAGGCACAGCTATGGGCAGGTGCCTAGCATTTCCCCTCAGAACTGCCTTCACCACACATACTCTCAGTCTGAACTCACCTGCAGTGGTCTGCAACCATAGACCCTGCAGGATATCAATCCCCAAAATAGACTCAGGAATAGGAGATATATACACAGTATACTTTTTTGCAGGTAGACACCCTATTCCCAAAGGGATTTGGGCTTGTTTCACTCTGATAGCCTTACCCCCCTATCCATCTATGATGGTGGGGGTCCTGGGAAACCACTCAGAGTTACCATGAATCAGTGAACATTCAGCCCCTGTGTCCACCAGAGCCAGGACACGTTGTATGTTCACTGGGGACCAATGGATAGCTATTTCAATATGTGGCCTCCTGTCCCCCCTGGTCCCTCAGGGCAAATACTTGACCTTCCCCTCAGTCAAACCATGTTCCCCAATCACCTTCCTGTGTGGGCTCAAGTGAGGTTGGCTCGCTCTCCAGCAGGAAGTCTTGCAG